CAATGAATCAACGATATAAGACTGTATTTCAATGGCCTTGGTTTACAGTATACGAGTAGACAATGTATAAAGAGCGAGTAGACAATGTATAGAGAGCAAGTAGACAATGTATAAAGAGCGAGTAGACAATGTATAGAGAGCAAGTAGACAATGTATAGAGAGCAAGTAGACAATGTATAGAGAGCGAGTAGACAATGTATAGAGAGCGAGTAGACAATGTATAGAGAGCGAGTAGACAATGTATAGAGAGCGAGTAGACAATGTATAGAGAACGAGTAGACAATGTATAGAGAAGCGAGTAGACAATGTATAGAGAGCGAGTAGACAATGTATAGAGAGCGAGTAGACAATGTATAGAGAGCGAGTAGACAATGTATAGAGAGGCGAGTAGACAATGTATAGAGAGCGAGTAGACATGTATAGAGAGCGAGTAGACAATGTATAGAGAGCGAGTAGACAATGTATAGAGAACGAGTAGACAATGTATAGAGAGCGAGTAGACAATGTATAGAGAGCGAGTAGACAATGTATAGAGAGCGAGTAGACAATGTATAGAGAGCGAGTAGACAATGTATAGAGAGCGAGTAGACAATGTATAGAGAGCGAGTAGACAATGTATAGAGAGCATTAAAAAAGCTAATGAGAACGTGAAGCTAAGCAAAGTAAAGAATTTTGAAGTGAACAAAGAAAATCAGCATATCAATGTGAAGCTATATTGTATATCTACCCAATGAACTTCAATTTCGCGGGTGTTTTTTCGCAATATTGAACAATATAACGTTCTAGATGCATTCATTTTTGAACACTTCACGTTTCAAGGTTCACAGTCGTGTGTTACTTATACATGTACATTGCCCTGTGTATTTTCATTACTCCAACAGTCTTATGTTCTTCATATTGCAATGTGTATTCATATAAGTCCGACAGTCAGGTGTTATTTATACATTGTCCAGTGTATGTATATTACTCCGACAGTCGTGTGGTATTTATTTATTGTCCTGTGCATATATATCACTCGAACAGTCGTGTGGTATTTATACGGCATTGTGTATTTGTATTGTGTCCAGTCTGTTTTAGCGGTTGTAGACCTGTAAATAACTATAAATATATTTCGTTATGTTGTTTAGTGTTGTTGTTTCTTTTTCAGACTTGGCAGTGTGATAGCAGACATTGACATGTTGGTAATGAAAAATGATGTTTCCAAGATAACTGTTGTTATTGCTGAATTAGCCTCCGGTACAACAAATATAACTATTTTCGGGTCAAATGTTCCGTTAATAGGAATTTTGGTGGATGGCACAAATGGTAGGTTTCATACCTTGAACTATATGTTGAAACGGTTGCATTTCAAAAGCAATAATTATGAAGTTTTTTGTCCCCCGCCTTTTCGAAGAAAAATGGGGGTATAGAAATAGACTCCGTCCGTCCGTCTGTCCGTCCGTCCATCTGTCCGAGCAAACATTTTGGGTTTAGGGGCTTTATAACAGTAAAGAGAACAAAAGAGAACAATAGGTTCACTCCGTGATCAAATGGTTTATGGGCTAGTAGCCCTTAAGAAAACAAAGAAAATAACAAAGAAAATAACCCCTAAACCCAAAATGTTGGAACGTCCGTCCGTCCATCAGTCCGTATGTTTTTCCGTCCGTCCGTCACACTTTCGTGTCCTGTCCATTACTTTGTCATTTATGAAAGGAATCTGAAATAACTTGGCACAAATGTTTGTTATAATAGGACAATGTGTCATGCGCAACAACCAGACCCCTACCTCCAGGGTCAAGGTCGCACTTGCTTATTCAAGGTCAACATTATCTATTTGAGGGTATATGTCGTATCCGGTCCATAACTTTCTTATTTTTGAAGGAATTTTGTAAATACTAGCCACAATTGTTCACAATAATGAGACGATGTGTCATGCGCAATAACTGGTCATCTACCTTCAAGGTCAAGGTCACACTTGGAGGTCAAATATTAACATAGTCTGTTACAGGGTATATTTTGTGTCCGGTCCATAACTGTTTCATATATCAAAGGATTTTGTAAATACTTGCCACAAAAAGTCACTATAATAAGTTGATGTGTCATGCGCAATACCTACATCCCTACCTTCAAGTTCAAGGTCACACTTAGAGGTCAAAAGTTAGCATAGTCTGTTTCAGGGTATATTTTGTGTCCGATCTAGAACTTCTTCGGGATTTTGAAATAACTAGGCACAAATAGTCACAATACTAAAACGATATCTCAAGTATAACACCTACACCCCTACCTCCAAGGTCAAGGTCACACTTAGAGGTCAAAGGTTAACAAGAGTCTGTTATATTGTATATTTTGTGTCCCGTCCATTACTTCTTTATAGATTAAGGGATTTTAAAAATACTTAGCACAAATAGTCTTAATGATAAGATGATATGTCTTGCGTAACACATGTGTCATACCTCCAAGGTCAAGGTCACACGTAGAGGTCAAAGATTTACATAGTCTGTTATATGGTATATTTTGTGTCCAGTCCATAACTTTTTCATAGATCAAGGGATTTTAAAAATACTTGGCACAAATAGTTTCAATAATAAGACAATATGTCATGCACAACAGCTGCACACCTACTTCCAAGGTCAAGGTCACACTTGGTCAAAGCTAAACATGATAGATTTTTAAATTCCGTGTTTAATTTTATTTCTTTTATAAATTTGTTGTTGCATTTGGAGATCTAGCTTTGATCATAATTTGGACTGAAAGACCTTACCTCAATCTTTTGAAATAGCACAATTTTATGCTTTATAAATCTTCCCCGAGGCGGGGGACGTTGGTAACTCTGTTACAAATTATTGTTTAATTGTAAACTGGTGTTCAGTGCTTTTTATTACTTAATCATGACATATCCACTTAGGGCAGCAATGCCTCCAGATTCCTGATAATTTAAATGAAATTTGTAAAAATGAATTTTAAAGTTAAGTATTTTGAAGTGAACAAATAAAATAGTTTACACGTTGCAAACAGCATTTTCACTGATGATGAAACTGTTTTTCTTTTTTTTAAGACAAACACACTATTTTTGCTTGTTTTGTCATATACATGTATTAACTGCACGTGATACAAATGAGAAAACATGTCATTCTTGTTATAACAGTTACAATTGGAGACATACTGACAGACAAATTACTTTGTGATCTGTACAAAGCATCGGAAGGTCCTTGCGAGCTTGATTATATGTGTGCCATCTCAAACGGTTTACCAACATGCGTGTAAGGACAATATACAACTTTGACTTTTGTATAAATTTCATCTTTTGTTTACAACGGTTACATAACTTACATTAAAGACACATTTTTCCCAGAAACGAATTAGTTTTTCCTTCTTTAGAAAGGACAAAATAACTTTTATAATATTTAAAACATGGGAATGCTTTTTTATCACTTGAGCGCAAAATAGTTCAGAAAGTGAAATTATGTGTCATGAAATTAGCAAAATGTTAAAAAAGAAGTATATATTTTTACTTCTATACAAAATGCTAAATCATTATAAATATATATAAATTGCCGAAGGTAACAGAGGCAAAATATGGTTCAGGCAATTGTTCAATGAGTAACTTTTCGGAAACTATAACAAGACAACAACAAAAACGTTTTTGAGAAAAATAAATAGAAGAATTTCTTAAGTATAATAGGTCTTTAATCTCCTTTTTCCAGGTTGATAAAAGACAAAGGTAAGAATGAAATGACTGAAAGGAAACGTTTTTAGTATAATTTTTTTGTCATTATATACTTCATTGTCATTTTGGAAAAGAAATCTATGTCGTTAAATAATTAATAGCGTAAAAGACTGTTTTAAATCTGCCAAGTCGTTGTTTAGGTTATTACATTTATTCTGTTAACAGTTATTACACATACTTTCGTTAACAGTTACTACGCACAAATTGTCACATTATTACATACTCGTATATTTTATCACAGTTATTATTCAAATTTTGTTTCAGTTATTACACTTATTTTATAACAGTAGTGTCACATATTTTACATTTATTATACTTATTTTTTATATTTATTTTGCATATTTTGTAAAAATTATTAGAAATTTTGTGTTGCAGTTTTTATACATATTTATTAAAGGTGTTATACAAATATCATTCAGTTTTAATTGTTTAATACTAAATTGCACTATTATTGGTGGTTATGAATACCAGTTAAAAAATTAACCAGTTTTGAAAATAGAGACCGGCGAAAACGAATAGTTTGCATGGCTATTTTGTAAGTAAAATCAATTTAAAGCAGGCAATGGACACTTAGCTTGCAAGCATTATATTCAGTTATTTTACTTGCAATTATTTACAACAAAGTGCTATTGAAATACATGTAATTAAACATTTATTCCCTCCGAATTCATGGCCGACATGGTCAAGGTCTATCACAGCACCACGATGTATCTGCCATATACACAAGGAATGAGTCCCAGTTCAGTCAAGGTGATGTATCAATTAGTGCATGCATGATTCACTAGTGAAAATCTTGTTATTTATGTTTTATATTCCACTGGTATATTGTTTCTGACTCTTAAAATATTGCTTATTTAAATTATTTACAATCTAAAATTACATTTTATGTGAAGAAATTTCCATTCAACTTCAATATTTACTTAGTTTTTAATGATATGGTAAAACATGTTCATGTATTTATGCTTCTGACTTGATTTCTGACATAAACATAAACTTTTTAAAATATAATTGATGACATGTGGCTATTTACTTTATATTAACACTTAAGACATTACAAGGCCTGTTTGTAGTTTAACAATATTCTATATCGCTAATTTTATATTTCCAAGCGATCAAAATTATAACAAAACCTAACTTATTTATATATAAAAAAAAAAAACATTTTTTATGCCATGCTGCACAGTTTTCATAACATTTTCACCTATTAAGAAATTACTTTAATAATCTTTTCATTAAACAGTTTTTTTTAATAAATTTGTAAAACGTTGAAGATTAAGTAATAAAAATATTTCAGATTGCACAGAAGGTACATGGGGTGACAACTGTTCTAATAATTGTACATGTGATCCTGACCATACGACAATATGTGACAATGTACTCGGCTGTGTTTGTCAAACCGGATGGAATGGAACTAATTGCACGGAAGATATAGATGAATGTTTATCTAATGTTTGTGTGGAGAATTCTTACTGTAATAATTCTATCGGGAGTTATACATGCACCTGTTATAAGGGATACAAAACATTTATTGATGGTTGTAGAGGTACGGTATCCTTAATTGTTTCTGTTTTATTGTTTTTCTTGTATCAATTTAGGAAACGCGGACTAGTCCACAGTATTTTTTTCTTCATCATTAAAGTGCATATTAAGGGCATTAAAAGATAACGACTTTAAATAGAAACTGACAAACTAGACAAAATGTTTGATAACTCATGAACATGTCTAGGAAAATGTTATGTTTCTTCTTTTAGAATGTTCAACGAATAGATTTGGTTTTGAATGTGAAACACCTTGTAATTGTGTGGCAAACAATACGATCACACCATCACAGTCATGTGACCACATCAATGGCACGTGCTATTGTTCACCATTCTGGACTGGTTCGCAGTGTGAGGTAGACATAGATGAATGCACATTAAACACAGATAACTGTACTAGGGAAAATGAGGGATGTCATAATATAGATGGTGGATATATTTGCTCATGTTTGGTTGGCTACAAAAGGGATAACGTCACTAAAACATGCGTGAATAGTACGTTTACATATCTTACATATATTTTACGTTTTAGCAAAAAAGAATATTGCACAACTTGAATTAATTTGTTTTTATTGTCATTTTTTGGTCGATTTTATCATTTTAAAAAATCATTTAAATACAGCATAACATAAGGTAATTAAGTTTTAACAAAAGAAAAAACATGTGTACTATCACTTCTAAGTAAATCAAATAATTCAAGTATCAAAGAGAAAAATCAGATTGATTCTGCATTAATTTCATTTGTCAATTCAAAAATTGTGCGTGATGAAATGGATAACTTTATAAAAAGTTAAGACAAATCGGTTTCTGCGTATCATTTATAGTATTTACAATTCTTTCTCAAAACAAAATCATTAATTCATATATCTACATATTTATTTAGATATCTTTTCATTTATCAAACTATTGATTTATATCTACAGACACTTCCGAGACTGCACCAAAAACGCCCAGACCAGGTTACATGTAGTTTTTATGTTCTTTTTATACGTAATGAATAATTATTAATAGTTCAAGATATCAAAAAATAAATTGTAACTGACTTCAATTGAAATATTATACATTATCTGATATTTAAGTGTAGTGTATATTTTAAGCAAAGAATTGCCCTAGTTACAAGGTTTTATTTTATGAAAACCAAATTAAACAATCAAAATAGACACAGCATGATATCAAGTTTTACAGTAGACAACCTTGTTATTTCATAGTTATAAATGTTCCATGTTCATCTTCAAAACAGTGTGTAGTATCAAATATTATATACAGCTGGAAATAAGTTAAGCACATCCCAGAAATTGAAAATTGGTTGTGATTGAAAGCACTTTGATGAGATGACGACTTAATTGAGCTGCGAAATAGTAATTTGATAAGTAGCGATGCCAATTCAGTAATCATAAACCAGTTAATTTATGAGTTTAGTTTATTCTTAACCAAATTATTGAAGCATTGTCAAATGTGTTGTTTTTACCAAAAAATTAAGTGTTTATAAGTATTGTGTTGGAGCGTTTACAAAACATTTGCTGGTGGATACTTTTGGTAAATGTTGACGATTACATAACCTTAAATGACATTATGTAGCCAAATTTTAATAACGTGTGTAACCACCAAGTGTCTGGATGATAGCCTCAACCCATCTCCTCATACTACCAGTAAGGCGTCTAATGAGATTTAGAGGAAAATTTTGCCATTCTTGGTGCAGAGCTTGTTCCAGTTGTTGCAGGTTAACTACAGGTGGTTCGTACCATTGCCCATACAAAAATTAAAATTTCAGTTGTGGTTATGTCAAAATTGAGGCAAAATACCGGGTGTGCTTAACTCATTTCCATGTACATGTATATATTTTGTAGTTATCATTGTTTGTTCCGTGACGTTAACTAAAAAAGATACAGAACAATTCGGTTTCAATTATTCACCATTTTGTAGATGATGTCGAAGTGGTAAATGTCGTACTAACATTAAATGTTGACGTGGAAGGCAATATAACTGTAGCTGATACATATAAAAGATACCTGGAGGAAGTTATCAGAGCGGTAAGATTTAAATTGTTGCTTAGAGACAATCTTCATAACCAATTATTTCTATGGTAACACAAGTTTGTATGATTTATTTCGTTTAAGGAATGTCAATAAAAAACCTGTGCTTTAACATGTGAAACGACCCGTTTTATTGTAGAAATTGACACTATAGATTATGTGGGAAAGTGATGATTATGTAATGCAAACAAATGCCATAAATGTTTTAATGTAGACATGTAAAATTTAAAAAACCTAATCATTTTATTGCTTAAGTTCTATAATAGATATAGTTCATAAATTACGATGCTCGTTACTTTTATTGTACAATCTTGTCAACAGATGTACTGTGCTTTCTTTCTTTCTCTCTTTTCTTTCTTTCTTTCTTTCTTTCTTGTATATTGAAACAGCAGAGGTATATGTAACATAGCTTCATTGAAACAGTGATTATATAAAGAATATTTTTACATGTACATTTAAAGTTTCAATATATTTTTGCAGCTTACTGCCATTTTCAATGAACGGTTTCCTGGTACTGGTGTACAAATCATTATAAATTCAATAAGGTATGTAGCGTATGAAAATGTAAACTCTTATCGTAGAATTTGATTCTTCATATATTTCACTGATTTATTTTATTTTGGTCTCTGAAAGAATTCACCTCCAACATTTATAAAAATATTATAAGCTAGATCTAAAAGAAAAGGCGGCGTTCATTAAACGCATAGAAAGCATTTTCATAGTTGTTTAAGGTATACTTTAAAGACATCTGGAATATTACAGAACCGAGGTGTTTGCGTCGAACTAAAATATTCGATCTGAAAGGTATTTTTAGCTTTTGATACAAAAAGAAGTCACAAGGGTTAAGGTCAGGTGAATACGGAGGTTAGTGGAGTACGACGACTTTTTATGTGTCATCAAGTCTTGCACTATGGACGCCTTGTTTGATGATGCGTTATCATGCAGCAATTTGACATTGGTCGAAACTTGTTACAAGTCTTCGTTTTCGAAAAGTCTTTGTTTACTTTCCGAATAACTTTTGTCTTGTAATATTTCGCATGAACAGATTCGCCTTTGGAAACAGCAACTTGAATGACGGGACCCTGTGTTCTAAAGAAAATGGCATACATTACCTTCTTTATGCTGATGATCCTTTTCGCAATGCCACACTTTAATTCCAAATTTTAGTTTGGTATTTTTGTTTTGGCTCATAAAAATAACCAAAGTGTCGTCGCAAGTGACGGCAATTGCAAACGACCATGCATTGTAGTTAGGATACTGTTTAAGCAACATCTCAGCACATTACACGCGACCCCTTTTCTGCGCATATGTCAGCAAATATGGAATCCATCTAGCACAGATCTTTCTCTTTTTCAAATCGTGTTTGAGAATGGCATGAACTGCTCCTGAACTTTGCCAAGTGGTGTATCTTGCGTCGATATTTACTATTTCTTTCGCTTGAGCAACCATCTTGACAGACGTTGCTGTTTAAACCGATGGGTATGGTGCATCTTCAGTCGAAATTAAGCCGCATTTGAAATTATTAAACCAACGAATAACTGATGAAAAAGATATTTCGTTTCGTCCATATACAGAACAGATTTCATCAAAAATGTCTTTACACTCTATACCAATGAATCAACGACCTCCAATATAAGACAATGTATAAAGAGCGAGTAGACAATGTATAAAGAGCGGGTAGACAATGTATAGAGGGCGAGAAGACAATGTATAGAGAGCGAGTAGACAATGTATAGAGAGCGAGTAGACAATGTATTGAGAGCGAGAAGACAGTGTATAGAGAGCGTTAAAAAAGCTAATGAGAAGGTGAAGCTAAGCAAAGTTAAAGTTACATTAAATAAATTTCATAAAAACCTAAATATCGACAATTCATTAATAAATTGGGTTTTATATCGACTCCAGGTCTTATTTTGGTGTCCAAACAACCAAAATGAGTTTTATTAGCATAAAAATAGGTAACCTCATTGTGGCGAAATGGAAAATACAATTTCTGTTTGCATGAGAAACTCCGCCTTCGGATCATCCGTACATCAATATTAAATCAACAAACATGACTATAAGCGACAGTCCTAATTTAACGGTATATTTCCGCATTGTAACGGATGTTTTCATGCAAATTTAACCTTTTTACGAGATTATTACTTTTACTGAACCCCAGGTTTAGTGCACCATGAAGCTTAAACGTTTAAAATGTGTTTGCACAAGAAAATATCACATTTGCTTTGTTCCGGATAGCAACTAAAAAACTGTGACGTAGTGCATGCACGAGCTCATTACAGTCTTCATTTGCATGTTAAAATTCGTATACGAACTTTAGTGGTACCGTGGGGTTTCCCGTTTAAAATCCTAATTTATGAACAATATTTGATGAGATTTACAACAATAATATTAAACAGGTTAATGAACCTGTGGAAGGTTTGATTTTTAGGCCGACGGCAAAATATTTTTACATATTTATTTAATGTAACTTTAAGAATTTTGAAGTGAACAAAGAAAATAAGTATATCAGTGTGAAGCTAAATTGTATATCTACCCAATGAACTTCAATTTTGCGGGTGTTATTCGCAAAATTGAACAATATAACGTTCTAGATGCATTCATTTTTGAACACTTCACGTTTCAAGGTTCACAATCGTGTGTTACTTATACATGAACATTGCCCTTTGTATTTTCATTACTCCAACAGTCTTGTGTTCTTCATATTGCAATGTGTATCCATATAAGTCTGACACTCAGGTGTTATTTATACATTGTCCAGTGTATGTATATTACTCCGACAGTCTTGCGGTATTTATTTATTGTCCTGTGCATATATATCACTCCAACAGTCGTGAGGTATACATATGGCATTGTGTATTTGGATTGTGTCCAGTCTGTTTTAGCGGTTGTAGACCTGTAAATAATTATAAATAGATTTCGTGATGTTGTTTAGTGTTGTTGTTTCTTTTTCAGACTTGGCAGTGTGATAGCAGACATTGACATGTTGGTAATGAAAAATGATGTTTCCAAGATAACTGTTGTTATTGCTGAATTAGCCTCCGGTACAACAAATATTACTATGTTCGGGTCAAATGTTCCGGTAACAGGAATTGTGGTGGATGGCACAAATGGTAGGTTTCATACCTTGAACTATATGTTGAAACGGTTGCATTTCAATAGCAATATGAAGTTTTTTGTCCCCCGCTTTTTCGAAGAAAAAAGGGGGATATAGAAATAGGCTCCGTCCGTCTGTTCGTCCGTTCATCTGTCCGAGCAAACAATTTGGGTTTAGGGGCTATGTAACTGTAAAGAGAACAAAAGAGAACAATAGGTTCATTCCGTGATCAAAGGGTTTATGGGCTAGTAGCCCTTAAGAAAACAAAGAAAATAACAAAGAAAATAGCCCCTAAACCCAAAATGTTGGAACGTCCGTCCGTCTGTCCGTCCGTCACACATTCGTGTCCGGTCCATAACTTTGTCATTTATGAAAGGAACCTGAAATAACACAAATGTTTGTTATTAAAAGACGATGTATCATGCGCAACAACCAGCTCCCTACCTCAAGGGTCAAGGTCGCACTTGCTCATTCAAGGTCAAAATTGTCTATTTGAGGGTATATGTCGTGTCCTGTCAATAACTTTCTTATATTTGAAGGGATTTTGTAAATACTTACCATAATTGTTTACAATAATAAGACAATGTGTCATGCGCAACAACTGGTCACCTACCTCCAAGGTCAAGGTCACACTTGGAGGTCAAAGATTAACATAGTCTGTTACAGGGTATATTTTGTGTCCGGTCCGTAACTTTTTCATATATCAAAGGATTTTGTAAATACTTGCCACATATAGTCACTATAATAAGACGATGTACCATACGCAACGCCTGTATTCCTACCTCCAAGTTCAAGGTCACACTTAGATGTCAAAAGTTAACATACTTCTTCGGGATTTTGAAATATCTAGGCACAAATAGTCACAATAATAAAACGATATCTCAAGTACAACACCTGCACCCCTACCTCTAAGGTCAAGTTCACACTTAGAGGTCAAAGGTTAACAAAAGTTTGTAATATGGTATATTTTGTGTCCCGTCCATACCTTCTTCATAGATTAAGGGATTTTGAAATACTTAGCACAAATAGTCATAATGATAAGATGATATGTCTTGCGTAACACATGTGTCATACCTCCAAGGTCAAGGTCACACGTAGAGGTCAAAGATTTACATAGTCTGTTATATGGTATATTTTGTGTCCAGTCCATAACTTTTTCACAGATCAAGGGATTTTAAAAATAATTGGCACAAATAATCACAGTAATAAGACGATATGTCAGGCGCAAAACATGGGTCCCTACCTCCAAGGTCACACTTAGAGGTCAAAGATTAACATAGTCTGTTATAGGGTATATTTTGTGTCCGATCCATAACTTTTTCATTGTCCAAGGGATTTTGAAAATACTTGGCACAAATAGTTACAATAATAAGACAATATGTCATGCACAATACCTGCACCCCTACTTTCAATGTCAAGGTCACACTTGGTCAAAGCTTAACATGATAGATTTTTAAATTCCGTGTCTAATTTTATTTCTTTAATAAATTTATTGTTGCATTATATTGTAGATCTAGCATTGATCATAATTTTGATCTGAAAGTCCTGAGATCAATACCTCAATCTTTTGAAATAGCACAATTTTATGCTTTATAAAACTACCCCGAGGCGGAGGACGTTGGTAACTCTGTTACAAATTCTTGTTTAATTGTAAACTGGTGTTCAGTGCTTTTTATTACTTAATCATGACATTTTCCACTTAGGGCAGCAATGCCTCCAGATTCCTGATAATTTAAATGAAATTTGTAAAAATGAATTTCAAAGTTAATATTTTGAAGTAAACAAATAAAATAGTTTACACGTTCCAAACAGCATTTTCACTGATGATGAAACTGTTTTTCTTTTTTAAGACAAACACACTATTTTTGCTTGTTTTGTCATATACATGTATTAACTGCACGTGATACAAATGAGAAAATATGTCATTCTTGTTATAACAGTTACAATTGGAGACAGTCTGACAGACAAATTTCTTTGTGATCTATACAAGGCATCGGAAGGTCCTTGCGAGCTTGATTACATGTGTGCCATCTCAAACGGTTTACCAACATGCGTGTAAGGACAATATACAACTTTTACTTTTGTATAAATTTAATCCATAGTGTACAATGGTTACATAACTTATATTAAAGACACATTTTTTTCCAGAACGAATAAGTTTTTCCTTCTTAATGAAAGGGAAAAATGACTTTTATAATAGTTAAAAAACGGGAATTTTTTTTATCACTTGAGCGCAAAGTAGTTCAGAAAGTGAAATTATTTGTCATTAAAGTAGCAAAATGTTAAAAAAGAAGTATATATCTCTACTTCCAAACAAAATGCTAAATCATTATAAATATATTAATTGCCAAAGGTAACAGAGCCAAAAGATTGTTCAGGCAATGGTCAATGAGTAACATTTCGGAAACTATAACAAGACAACAAAGCATAAAACGTTTTTGAGAAAAATAAATAGAAGAATTTCTTTAGTATAATAGGTCTTTAATCTCTTTTTTCCAGGTTGATAAAAGACGAAGGTAAGAATGAAATGACTGAAAGGAAACGTTTTCAGTATTTTTTTTCCATTATATACTTCATTGTCATTTTGGAAAAGAAATCTATGTCGTTAAATAATTAATAGCGTAAAAGACTGTTTTAAATATGCCAAGTCGTTGTTTAGGTTATTACATTTATTCTGTTAACAGTTATTACACATACTTTTGTTAACAGTTACTACGCACAATTTGTCACATTATTACATACTCGTATATTTTATCACAGTTATTATTCAAATTTTGTTTCAGTTATTACACATATTTTATTACAGTAGTGTCACATATTTTGTGACATTTATTATACTTATTTTTATATTTATTTTGCATATTTTGTAACAATTATTACACATATTGCGTTGCAGTTATCATACATATTTATTAAAGATATGTTATTCAGTTTTCAGGCTTAATTGTTTAATACTAATTTGCACTATTATTGGTGGTTATGAATACCAGTTAAAAGTTTAACCAGTTAAAAGTTTGAAAGTAGAGACCGGCGAAAACGAATAGTTTGCATGGCTATTTTGTAAGTAAAATCAAATTGAAGCAGGCAATGGACACTTAGCTTACAAGCATTATATTCAGTTATTTTACTTGCAATTATTTACAACAAAGTGCTATTGAAATACATGTAATTAAACATTTATTCCCTCCAAATAGATAAGTTGACGTTGATCCTTGGTCTTGGACTTGGTATACCAATGTTCTTACTGGTGGGAGCAGTGATTATACTGGGAATGGTGCTGTATAAGTACAAGCGCAAGAAGAGTTCCTTCCGCAGGTAAATAGCTGCATTCTTAAAACACTTTTCAATGTTGTACAGCCAGGATAAAGCAACTAGCCAACATATTAGAAACTTCATGTACAGCCGGCGTGTGCTGCGCTTTTATGTTTTCAGGCAATCATTATTTTATCATATCATATGATGTTACAGCTCAACTCTTTTTCAGCATTCAATATATAACGATATGAAACTGTCGAAATTTTAAGACTGCGAAGATATTTCAAATGATGTTAAATGATACAATTCGCTTCATCTATTGGATTGGTTGTTCTTTTGCGATTTCTAAAGAAAATAATTCCTCTTTCATTGTCTTTATTCATTGAACACACATAACTTTTGTTACCAAGCCAATTCTATTATTTCCTTTATCTAATTTGCTTGATTTATAGTATTTTGTGTGTTTTTCTGTTTGTATCCGTTTCTGTCATTGTCATGTATTCCCCTGTTATAAACAAAATTTGATATTTTTACTGATGTAGCGACTATGACGATCAAAGTAGTTCTGTGCTGTCTGGGAAATTACCGATGCGTCTCAATACAGGTATACCGACGGGACCATATCGTAATGTCCCAGATTTACCTCAACACAAGGGCAATGACAATTTGACATCAGACTTTTCACAGTACGGCGTTCATGGCCGACATGGTCAAGGTCTATCACCGTATCACGATGTATCTGCCATATACACAAGGAATGAGTCCCAGTTCAGTCAAGGTGATGTATCAATTAGTGCATGCATGAATCACTGGTGAAAATCTTGTTATTTATGTTTTATATTCCACTGGTATATTGTTTCTGACTCTTAAAATATTGCTTATTTAATTTATTTACAATCTAAATTTACTTTTTATGTGAAGAAATTTCCATTCAACTTCAATATTTACTTAGTTTTTAATGATATGGTATACAATGTTCATGTATTTATGCTTCTGACTTGATTTCTGACATAAACATAAACTTTTTAAAATAAAATTGATGACATGTGGCTATTTACTTTATATTAAATTATTAACACTTTAGACATTATAAGGCCTGTTTGTAGTTAAACAATGCTGAATGTGGTGCTTCGATATCAAAATGTCACCAAGATGGTTATGTCTGGTCATATCTTTGTCATTCATTCATGGATGCTTTTTCGACCAATTGGGCATACTGTTGATAGAAAGTGTTTTTAAGTGTTTCTGTTTCTGTTTTTGTTTTTGTAACAATAAGTTTGGAGGGTAACCATATACTTAGTGGGAAGTCAGTGATCGTGTTCCTTTAGTTGGTTCAGCTTAGGTGTATGTTTCTGCATTGTCCACTGAATTTACCAGACACCAAAATGTGTGGATTTTGTTTATGTTTGATGTTATTGTTGCTTTTGTTGTTTTGGTTTTCTTAAGTTGACACATTGTAATGAACACATTATAACATCAAATAATGTTACCGTACATTCTCATGATTTTACTTTATTTTTAGATGGACATAGAGATGGACATTTTTCCTGGAAAAACCTCCTTGAGGGTATGCCCCCAAAAGGACAGGTAAAAGTTTATTACACTTACCATTATATGGTAAAGTTTTGTCTTTCTGCTACTCACTTGTCTTCCAGTAAGTGATGAAACAAAAAATATAATGAAAACCCTTATTCGTTTATAATGTTATAACTTATAAACGAATGTTTTGTCTTATTCATTTGTTTTAAATTAAGGGTTTAAGAGGTAAAAGGATGAAAATGTCGAAAAGATTTATTTAATTATATAATTTCACAATTTAATAAAAAAAAGCCACTGTTTAGATAAAGAACATTTAAATAATTGTAGCTTAACAAATAAATGCCATTAATTTTCTGATTAAAATGTATGTATTATGCAATAAATTTTGAAAACAGTGTATGTTTTGATGTTTATTTTATTACAAGATTTTATTGTACATATATGTACACTTTTTACAAGACAAAATTGCAATGAAAATGTTGATGTTTTATTATTAATATTATTATTATTATTATTATTATTATTATTATTATTGCCAATTAGAAATGACTTAAATGTTGCAACACCGAAATTAAATTACTAAGTACTACCTGGTTTTTTTGGCCTTTTTTTGGGAAGCATTTAACCATACCCGGGTTTTTTTGGAAAAAAAGAAAGTAATTTTCCTTCGACTATTTACATCTCAAACACATATTGTAGAAAGATGTCATCTCAATATTCCATAAATAACTTTCACAATTTATGATTATTGTTTAACATTGTTTCTTTTCAGTTCCACATAAAAAGACCTGCAGTTGACCAAGATCCACTTGACGTACATCTATAACACTAACACATTAATTAGTACCATGTTATATATAATCATTATTAAATATACGGTATTTGGTATGGTTTCGATTGGAATTGGTTCAAAAGCGTATATTTGCAATGGGCCAGCAGACATTAGAAATGCGTGACATGGTGTGGGCGTTATTTCGAGAAAGAATGAGAACAGAAGTTTTTTTAACGCTTATGACGTGGTGAAAATGGTCCGTGACAATTAATTCATAAGTGTGGACAGTTATAATGTAAATATTCATACAGCCAAATATATTTTCTTTTGCAAATGTGTTTGTTAGATATGTGTATTATTGCTGGCAAAAGTTTTTATATGTATGTGTGGGTTAACAGTAAAAAATAGTATATGGATTTTCCGAAAACTCTCGTATATCGTTTGCTAAAAAAAGACAGATTACATTGCCAACTTTTGGTCAAAATGGCTTGGAAATAAAATGATGTCGAAGATTATGTTTTCATTAGAAATGATATATGTTATCATGAACATTAAATAAGTTCGCTAAGTTAATGCCATCAAGTAAAGAATCTGTTTATTTGAATTTAGCAAAATACGAGTAGATATACTTTGCTTACTTAATGAGAACACTGTTCATTAGTCTTTTACAGTTTGCTATTGTATTCAACACTTTTTTGTACCATATATACTTAAATGCTAACTGAAAATGCACTCCATTCGTTAATATTAAAAATATAGGGGACTTATTATTACCTTTACACTAATGCTCACCATTTGGTATTTATGGGATGTGTATTGTTTTTTGTTGTTGTTGTTGTTGTTTTTCATCATTTCTTGCTATAAACAATTGTACATTGCCATTGTCGTTTTACTTATAAATAAAAACTACGAAATACATGTATATAAAACAATTATCACACTCTGTGACACACGCATAATACAAATTAATTGTACAATAAAAATAACTAGGACCTCTCTATGGAGATATACAAAAAATTACATATGTAATGTATGTCCAGTATTATAGTTTGTGTATATATAAAAAATTAACAGCTATATGTCTGTAACTTTTTGAATTTATTGTTAATATGTTGATGTGATTGTATGTTAATCTTTACATTATAATAACGTATTGACGTTGAACCTATATATATGTTTGTTCCAAATAAACACTGGAGTATAGTATTAATAAAATAGTGCCCTTGTTCTTGTCTCTGTCTTCTTGTGACCACGTGACCATAAATCACTGGAATATAGTTTTATAACTATTTTTGTAATAACATGTATATGGAAGTTTTATTATTAATTGTCCTATTAATTAAATGAATTGAAATGATTTCTTAACGAAAGGTTATTGTCAATACATTTAGTATTATCCTGCAATTTTAAACTTATGAGCAACGGTCGTCTGTTACAAAAGTGAGTCTTAAAACAGTTAACTTGCGGTTGGTACATAAAAATCAAATATTATAAACTAAAACATTTTAATATAATTGTACATGAGCGACCAGGAGAGACAACTATAAAATTACATTTTCTTAAGTCTATTTAGATTACACTCCCCTTGACACAGACAGATCTTTTTGGTCTCATTTTAACTGTAGATACGTAAAAGATTTGCCTATTATACAAATATTGAATAAAAAGACGATGGACAGCAACAAGGAATTCTAATTATATATTTTATATGTTACAGGGTCATTTGTCATTATATATACATGTATATAATTTACCATTATTATATCCTATATGATATATAGTGCATTTCTTATAAATATATTCTTCCTTATCCATCCACTCTTCATCTCATATTTACTCCCATAGCCTCATTATATCATCCATCATATATCATACACTAACTATAGTAACTGGTGACGGGCCTCATTTTTCCGCTCATGATTTACCGCCACGCATGCGCACGGCATATTTGAATTAGAGTTGTAGAGTGAAAACCTTACTCCTGTCTTTGTGTTAATTATTTATTTATTTTGCTGTCTCTGTGTGTTTTTGCAGGTTATTTACTTATATAAGTGTATTGATATATGTTCATTCTTCATTTTCTCATTCATCGTTTATTTCATGATTTTGACGGTTTTTGTATAGTTATGGAATGCACTGAAGATTTGAATTACAGTTGTAGACGTGAGAACGAAACTTCTGACGTTCTTGTTTATTTATTTATTTTGCTGTCTCTGTGTGTTTTTGCAGTCTCAATCACAAGTGAGAACTTTATAAAACCCTTCTACCAATATAGAAGGTAACAAATTGGTGGCCAGTGTGGGGGACCGTGACTGCTTATAGCTCAGAGTTCAATTAGCATTGCTCTGTAGCTTTGTGAAATTCGAGGACGAATTTCAATATTGTGGTAAAGTATGTCACGGTTCAGAACTGTTCTCTATTTAGGGGAGAAGATGTGTAAGCGGCCGGATAGCTCAGTCGGTAGAGCCGCGGTACGGTATGCCGAGGGTCCCGGGTTCGAGTCCAGGTCAGGCTGCACATTTTTCTCACCCTGTGACATATATACCATAAGAAGAACATAACTTTTGAACTCATATAAACATTTAAAAAAACAACAAATTTTGAATTTTGGTTACTTCAAGTGATACTTATATGTTATTTATAGTTCTGTAATAATTTCTATGTATATTTCTTAATAATCTTAATAAATTTCTAGTTGAGATAAGCCAGAAGTCGAGCTCAGTTTTTTTTGTCTTAAGTAAAGGTAAAGCATACTACAATATCATTTTCCCACACATTTCCTCCATTATTTTCCACTCATTTCCTATATACGAGTTGCACAAGTCCTATTTTATCCATTTTAACATGATTCGTTTTTATAACATATTCCCTTTAAATCCTCTGTTTTCCACATATTTAATGTTATCAAATTTTCTCCTATTAAACTTATTTACTAATTAACTCGTATTTTGTTTTCTCTTTTAGCTCTACTCATCACTGAAAGTTAAAGAAATTAAATCAATTTGATGAACTGTAAGATACCATTTGCCAAGAAGGTATTCAGTTATATATGTCTTATTTGGGCCTCACTATCTCATTCCTTTTCAATATTTTCTTTACCTTCTTTTCAATATATAACTCTTTTTCATCCTTTCAATTTCACGTGAATACAAAATATTTCTTTGTTTTTGGACATCGAAATAACATACTTTTAATTTAAGAAAGATAACCCATCAATTGTTTGGCATGTATTTTTGTTGGCGGTTACTTCCCGGTAAAATGTTTTAATCCGCTTCTGGGAGACGTCAAATTTCATAAATAGTATCATTTTTAAATATTTTGTCTACTGTTTTTACCTAATTTATTCAGCAACAATTTGTCGTCTGTTACTATCCCGTTTAATCAGCGTAATATACTCGCATTGTGTAAAGATTTAATACAAATTCAAGTAGGTAAGTATTTGTTAATTCAGCCAGACAGACTTTGATAACAGGTCAGACTGGCCACCTAGATATACATGCCCAGCCATGCAGTTAAATATATATGACCAGCCATGCAGTTAAATATATATGACCAGCCATGTAGTTACATATATATGACCAGCCATGCAGTTACATATATATGACCAGCCATGCAGTTACATATATATGACCAGCCATGTAGTTAAATATATATGACCAGCCAGGCAGTTAAATATATATGACCAGCCATGCAGTTAAATATATATACCAGCCATGCAGTTACATATATATGCCCAAGCCATGCAGTAACATATAATATGACCAGCCATGTAGTTAAATATATATGACCAGCCATGTAGTTACATATATATGACCAGCCATGTAGTTAAATATATATGATCAGCCATGCAGTTACATATATATGACCAGCCATGTAGTTAAATATATATGACCAGCCATGCAGTTACATATATATGACCAGCCATGCAGTTAAATATATATGACCAGCCATGCAGTTACATATATATGACCAGCCATGCAGTTAAATATATATGACCAGCCATGCAGTTACATATGCATGTCCAGCCATGAAGTTACATATATATATGACCAGCCATGCAGTTACATATATATGACCAGCCATGTAGTTAAATATATACGACAGCCATGCAGTTACATATATATAACCAGCCATGCAGTTACATATGCATGACCAGCCATGTAGTTAAATAATATATGACCAGCCATGCAGTTACATATATATAACCAGCCATGCAGTTACATATGCATGACCAGCCATGTAGTTAAATATATATGACCAGCCATGCAGTTACATATATATGCCCAGCCATGCAGTTACATATGCATGACCAGCCATGTAGTTAAATATATATGACCAGCCATGCAGTTACATATATATAACCAGCCATGCAGTTACATATGCATGACCAGCCATGCAGTTACATATATATGCCCAGCCATGCAGTTACATATATATAACCAGCCATGCAGTTACATATGCATGACCAGCCATGAAGTTACATATATATGACCAGCCATGCAGTTACATAGTCATGACCAGCCATGCAGTTACATATATATGACCAGCCCATGCAGTTACATATATATAAACCAGCCATGCAGTTACATATGCATGACCAGCCATTCAGTTACATATATATGACCAGCCATGCAGTTACATATATATAAAACCAGCCATGCAGTTACAATATATATGACCAGCCATTAAGTTACATATATATGACCAGCCATGCAGTTTACATATGCATGACCAGCATGCAGTTACATATATTGACCCGCCATGTAGTTACATATATATGACCAGCCATGCAGTTACATATATATGACCAGCCATGCAGTTACATATATATGACCAGCCATGCAGTTACATATGCATGACCAGCCATGCAGTTACATATATATGACCAGCCATGCAGTTACATATATATATGACCAGCCATGCAGTTACATATGCATGACCAGCCATGCAGTTACATATATATATGACCAGCCATGCAGTTACATATATATGAACCAGCCATGCAGTTACATATATATGACCAGCCATGCAGTTACATATGCATGACCCGCCATGCAGTTACATATATATGACCAGCCATGCAGTTACATATATATGACCAGCCATGCAGTTACATATATATGACCAGCCATGCAGTTACATATATATTGACCAGCCATGGCAGTAACATATATATGCCCAGCCATGCAGTTTTTACATATAAATGACCAGCCATGCAGTTACATATGCATAACCGCTAATGCAGTTACATATATTATGACCAGCCATGCAGTTACATATATATGACCAGCCATGCAGTTACATATGCATGCCCAGCCACGCAGTTACATATATATGGACCAGCCATGCAGTTACATATGCATGACCAGCCATGCAGTTACATATATATGACCAGCCATGCAGTTAAATATGCATGACCAGCCATGCAGTTACATATATATGACCAGCCATGCAGTTACATATAAATGCCAGTCATGCAGTTACATATATATGACCAGCCATGCAGTTACATATACATGACCAGCCATGCAGTTACATATATATGACCAGCCATGCAGTTACATATGCATGCCCAGCCATGCAGTTGACATAGTCATGACCAGCCATGCAGTTACATATGCATGACCAGCCATGCAGTTACATATTTATGACCAGCCATGCAGTTACATATGCATGACCAGCCATGCAGTTACATATGCATGACCAGCCATGCAGTTACATATATATGACCAGCCATGCAGTTACATATATATGACAGCCATGCAGTAACATATATATGACCAGCCATGCAGTTACATATATATGCCCAGCCATGCAGTTACATATATATGACCAGCCATGCAGTTACATATGCATGCCCAGCCACGCACAAAGCCATGCAGTTACATATATATGACCAGCCATGTACTTTGATATACATGCCCAGGCATGCAGTAAGATATACAGGCCCAGTCATGCACATAAATATACAGACCCAGTCATGTTCTTAGATATACAAGCCCAGTCATGTTCTTAGAAATACAGGCCCAGTCGTGCACTTAGATTTACAGGCTAAGCACGTGCACTGAGATATACAGACCCAGCTATGCTCTTAGATGTACAGGCCCAGTCGTGCACTTAGATATACAGATCAAGTCCGTGCACTCAAATATACGACCCAGTCATGCTCTTAGATATACAGGCCCAGTCATGTTCTTAGATATACAGGTTCTGTCGTGCACTTATATGTACAGGCCAAGCCCGTGCACTTTAATATACGGCCCAGTCATGCTCTTAGATAATAAGGCCCAGCCATACAATACGATATCAGAACGATTCGGTAACTCTTTCTGTGTCAAGGAACAAACCAATGACGTACGGTGACGTTTGTCAGTGTTGGGACTTTTTTCTAGTATCACAACGCCTGTCTAGCAGGTTTTTTTTTTGTCTTTTCATTTGGAAATTGTTAAAAACACATTTATCTGTTTGACACTATAAAGATCATTAGAATGTAAATATGTTCATTTTCTGTACTTAAGTTCGGCACATGTAAATAACTGATACATGTAACGTGTACTATATTGTAAGGAAGCTTATCCCAATCTTATTTTAAACTGTCCTTTATGCCTCCAACTATCTCTTAAATATTTACTTAAAGCTTTAGCTAACTATTAAATTAATGACGGAACGTTTCTAGATCTAGCTACTATTTTTCATTAATAATCCTTACTATGTTTCAAGTACTCGTTTTTTCTGCTATATGCTTATTTCAAGTTATTTCAGGTTATCGGATTCTTTGTATAGTGCTTTCTTCTTCTTTTTCTTCTTTTTTTTTAATCTTGTTTCTTCTGTTTGGTTATTATTTAGATTATTTTTATTTTGTTGTTTGTTTGTTGTTCTTTTCTTTTTGATTCCTTTTTTTTCTTTTGTATTCCATGATAATATGAATGAACTGTGTATATATTTGATATGAAAAAAAGTTGTAGGGTTTATTATAGTAATAAATAAATATGCACATTCGTCTTTATTTCTCATTTATAATTGTTGCAACAGACGGGCCTCATTTTGTCACCTGACTAGAGTACCGTGCTTCTTCCATTTATATTTTTCCAATTTCTTTGAGAAGTAATTATTTTTCTAAATGTTTTTAAAACATCTTCATCAATTATTTAAAATTGATCACAAATGTTCTCTGTGCATATCATATAAAATATATGATAAACTTACTAATTGAAATAAAGTGCATGCCCCAGAATAAATATATGAGTGAATACATGTTTTTTGTTCTTCGTTTTATTTATTTATTTATTTATTTATTTAAAATAAAAATAAAACGCATAAACGCACATATAAACATACACACACAGACACACACAGACACACACACACACGCACGAACGCACACACACACACACACACACACACCAACGCACACGCACGCACACGCACACATATGTTGTCTTTTGTTTTACTATAAAACTAATACTTGTACTAATCTAATTACTTTCATTTTTGAAATCAAAGAGAGGAAATAAACTTTAGAGATTTAAATCATCTAGGATAGTCAATAACTGATGTATAATTAATATCCGCCGCCGCTTATATCATATCTCCAACCACCCATTAAACACACTTAACCTTTGTAAAATTTAAATTTTGAAATATTAATGTAAAAGTTTCTGAAAATAAAATTTCTATAGCAGCCATCAATAATCGTAAAGGATATTGGTAATTTTGCAAAGCTACAAAAAATCTCGGAATGTTTAATTAATGACCGTGACAATATGAACGGAAAAGACACGCACATAAGTTATTCAGTAAATCAGTGTTTGGAACGCGAGATCGATTAACGTTTTCAAAAATCAAAAGCATGCCTGGCTTTGGTGACACTGAGTTATATGATAAGGCAGACAGATTTACGGGAAAAGACTTGCAAATTATTCATGTACTTCCATTCTATTACTGTATGATGGTGTAACGGTCCGTACTTCAAGTCTTTGACAACCTACTTTCCCCCCCAAGAACACTCTGGTGATTATGCCTAAAAATGACTTTTCAATTATAACTTTCCGTGTGAGTTAACAACTGCGGCAATTAATTTGAAAGCCGGGACATTATGTTTTGTTAAGCATGTCGTAATTCTTGCTGTAAGTGGTAGAGTTATGCTTAGATGATAACGTTGATGAATGTTTAAAGCTCTATTGTTTTGTATTCTTTAACGGAGAAGTGAATATATTTTGACAAAAAGTTTGATTTACAGACACGTATTTCACGTATTTTTTTGCTGCGTCATAAATTCTCAACTCCAGGATCCATGCATGAATGCAACTCAAATGCTGCCTCACTAATTGATTCGGGCTTACTGTTTGACATATGTACTGTAGGGATATCTGAAGGCATAACAAACCAAAAAAAGCTGCAGATAAAACTATTTAATGGGTTACAACAAACAATGCAACGTTTTAATTTATCCTGCATATGACTTCATAAATGCAGTCATGCTATGAATACTCAATGTTCCTTAAAGAATGTAAGTGTACTTAAATTCTTATAATTTTATTGTTTATGAAAAAAATTAAAATAGTACATAAAATAAGGAGAAAAATATGTCGGCTTTTTGCGTACAATTTTATTTACAAATCTTTGAATTTAACTCTTATACATGGCAATAGTATTAACCATATTCATAATCTGTACACTACAAGGTTACTGTTTTTAGTTGAATTTTGTTAAAATATTTGTCCGTATTTTATTACAACAGACAATATAACAATCTGAACTCGTTCTCACTTCAAAATACGTATCGAGGAACAGTGATTATCCCTGGAGTGATTGAAATTAGCATGAACAGAAATCAAGAATTACTGTAATGGAGTTTCGCGCGCCTGTAGTAAAAATCACGCAGAGGGTGAAAACCTTTTAAATCTCGACCTCAATCTTAAACAGGCCGTCAAAAACGCGTTTTCAATAGCCTGTTCTCACACTAGAGCTGCATTAATCATTTATACATTTTAAGGGGGATGTAGCTATTAAGATCGGACAATTGGATTTTGTAATGTTTAAACATACAGGAAACAGTGAAACTTTAATGTCTTCCATCACCACACGTATGTCTGTAATATGATAAAATATATTTATTCCTTTTACTTGCAGACATTTTTGAGTACACCTTAATCATACGTCTGTTTGCCGCCTTTTTCGGATCATAAAAGATTCATAGTTTTCTAAACATTTTATACTTATGTTTAAACAATATACCACATTAACAGGGGGAGTGGAGCAATAACAAATGTTTTATTTCTTCTTTTATAGAAATTTGATACAGTTATTCTAAAGTGCGGATAAATCATGATTCTGAAATTAGAGCGAATGGTTCCAAAATGTCAACGCGATCATGACGTCAGATGAATATTGTAAAATGCAATATATGCCGTTACATTATCTTTGAAACGTCTTTGAGATACCGTCGGTAATCATTTTACACCTTAAATAAGTTTAATTAGTTAGTACAAAGCATTTAACTTCCTTTAACACTAGTATGTTAAAACTGTTCCCAGGGAGCTGTTTAGAAACTTATTATTTTGAATGACAATCTGTTCATGACTGACATAGCCGAGTAAGAATATTCGTTTTTCAAAATTAAATGTACTCGTATATTCTAATCCATGCTATTTGTTGGATACAAATTGCCTATTTTTACACATGTTAGCGGATACAATTTTTTGAAGAGATATTAGACATTTAAAATTAAGAAAGTAACCAGAACCGTAAATATGTTGGTTGTTTTAGATGATACCAGTATTGTACTGAGTTGCTACATGTGAAACAAATTGGGACTGAAATTTTAATGGCTTAGAGTCTGAAAAGTTTGTATTATTATATTTATTCCGTGTCCGAATATTGCATTGTTTTGTTTTATGCGCTAACTTTCGCCTGTAGCTTGGGTACATGTCTCGGGAATATGCATGACCGTTTAACGTGATTTGTCCCACATCTGCAACATTAATCAGAAACAAAACGGTATATCAATATTTCTGTGTTTGTTTTGTTTCTTTTTGTTGTTGTTGTTGTTGCTGCTGCTGCTGCTGCTGCTGCTGCTGCTGCTGCTGCTGCTGCTGAGAACGCTCTAAGACCAAAGCAGAGGGAGTTAATAGAGTAAGAGAAAGAGATTACTGTTCGGGTAAAAGCTTGGCTTATGTGTGAATATTATGGAATACAAGAGAACGTGATGTAAAGTCAGTGACTTCGTTATAAAAGACAAGTGGATATGTTCGCAGTATTAATTGTTGTTCTGTAATATCTATCATAGGCCTTGGACTTCTTTGCTATTCTTATTCTTTAACATATATGCTCTGTCCAGTGTTTATATACTTTTATTTAAATTGTATCTTTGAGCAAGATTCCACTATGACACTTTTTATGTGTTTTTTTATATTTTATTTTCAGCATCTACCCGACAAAAGAAGTTTTCAACATCTTCCCGACTCACGGTGTTTTCTTAGCTCAAGTTTTCGTTGAAAAGTTCTGCCACACTTGTCACAGTTGAAAGGTGTATATCCCGTATGTTTGCGGCTATGAGTGATCAGGTTTGAGGACTGACTAAATCTTTTATCGCATACTGTACACCGATGTGGTTTCTCACCTGTGCACAAAAAAATCAAAATCCAATTAACAACATCACTTTGCAAAGTCACAAGTATTTTAAAACTAAGCTAAGCTCGCCATGTGTTATAATTTTTACAATATAGTTTTAATATATGTGTGTTTCTTTGAAATCATTGTTTATTGTGGAATATAACAAAATGAGAAAGTTCATGATAAAAAATACTTTCCAAGTTAAAATTGGAAAAAGTAATTTAAGAATCAGCTCGCAAACATTAAACGTAAATGTTTGGGACTGGGAGGTCACTTTAATTATATGAGATCCATAGAATCGTGCCCTATTTCTTAAATCATAACTTTAATACTTTACTCAGATATAAAGGTAAAAGTTCAACGAGGAAAGGAATCATAGTGTATGTTTAAAAACAAAAGTTTATATTAAGTATACTAAATACTTTCAGTCAATGTGCGGCTTGCGACAATTCACCACACAACTTAATTTCAGCGGTTCCATAAAAACATGATAATATCCGCTCAGGAGGTCACTATACTTGTTTGTCGGACAGCTGACGTTATTGTGAATCTTGTATTAATAACAGGTAAAATATTAGGAAAATGACGTTGCTTTTATTTAATGATTAACAACTTATAAATACGTACCAGTATGTATATATGTATGTTTCTTCATATCGGATTTCTGGTGAAATCTTTTCCCGCAAAACCCACAGGGATAGGGTCTTGTATCACTGTGTATCAACAGGTGCGTGTTCAGTGTCGACGAACGCTTGAATGTTTTCCCGCACTCGTGACACCGAAAAACCTTGCCGGTGTTATCGTAAAGAGTTTTATTTGTGTAATTTCCATTTAAATACATCTGCGTGAAGTTTCTGGCTGTGCTGTGTAAATTCTTGATGGATTGTCCTTCCTGTTCCCTACACATTGTTTGCGAGTAGACTTTATATCTATCCATAGTAATTATTTGCTTCTCGCTCTTTTCACTTGGTGATACTTGGTTATTTCTTGTTGGGTCATTTCTTGTTGGATTATTTCTTGTTGAGTTCACGGGGATAGTCTTTAAATCTAGAGGGGAGTCTTGGCGGTTACTCATGTTTTCAGTTGTGACGTAGCCAGAGCAAAACGAATAGTTAGACATAAAACTGTCAGCCTGTAGATAATTTCCATACTTTAAAATGTTGTTATTCTGTTCAGGAAGCGGTTGTTCTTTATCTGGTAAGGACGTTTCACAGTAATTCATGGATTTTGGCCATTCTGGCGGGAAAATGTCAATGTCTACGTTCTCTTCAAAAACCGACTTCCCAAGATTAAACGGATATCCTTAAAGATAAAAAAATCATCATAAGTATGAAAGGTATGGAAAAACTTGGGTAGAGAATATAAAGCATTTTTATAAGAGCACAGCAAGAGTGAATTAAAGAAATATAAGACTGGATGAAAATGTTGATATTCATAACACTAAAGCAGATTTCTTAGATTGTATTAATTAATGCGCTTATTTATAAAAAATATGATTTTTTTACAATGATGCACAATGAATGATATAGTTTAAATGGTCAATATGGTTTATATGGTTTATGTATACAATAGAATATTGTAAGTCTTTAACACTCAACTATCACGATGGCTCTTGATACAAGTGGTTATTCATTTCATGCTTTACATATAGTGTTTGTACCACAATTTCAAACATTAATTATTATATTCTTAGTATTTATTTCATGACTGTGATATTTTACATGTGATATATGCATTACTTTTCTTGTATTTAGATGTTTTATGCATTTGTTTATATGTTAATAATTATGTATGCACGTCATTATTGTTTATGTCAATAGACATAATGTTTGTGCCTTAATAAAATCTTGAATCTTGTACAGTATCAATTATATTTTCTTCTGCTTTAATTGGAAACTGGGTGTCTTGAATTAAATATAACCGGAAATTCTAAAAAAGCTATGTTAATAATAAATATCGGATTTATCGTTTAGATATGATACAGATTATATATACGCGTATGTATCTAACAAAATGGTTAAATTTTGTATTGCTATTGCATCAGTTTTGAATGTTGTTCAACAAACAGCTTTTTATTGACAGCTTATATGGTTCAATAATCAAATGAAATATTGCATGATTTAGTGTATAATTTACCATGAATAAAATATGTTTTGAATTATTTTCAATTCTATGAGAATACATGTATAACATTAATGTTGTATTTTGTTATATATGTCATCTGCTGATCGGTCTGTAACTAGAATTTCAAACCCTTACGAATTTGAGTCCGACATCTGAATATATATGTTTGTGTCATGCGAAACATATTTACTTATCTTTTCTGTTGCAAACTTCTATTTATTATTTATTATTAATTGTAACTGATTTGTTTCAGTATTTGTCATCAGAACGTCGCATTTTTTTAGGAATACGTCCCATTGTCGAGTGGTTACGTCACATGTCTACATATAGATCATCAACAGTGATGTTATATACAAACACTTTTGGTCCTTCTGTGTTCAATAGGGAAAATGCGGGTCGTGTTAGAATGTATGAATATGCATTCTTGCATAAAAATTGCGCACGCAAGTATACAGCAACGGAGAGAGAGAGAAAAAAATGCATAAATCAACGGATAAGATCACGCGAGAACGCGCCGTTCTTTAGATGTCTTTTTAGTAAGTTACTTAGGGCGCCATAAAAACTATCAAAATTTTGCCTACGGCATTGCACTCGCGCGTGAAAGGGATGACGAAGCCTGTTTCTTTGTACAAACAACGAGACGCTTATTCTTGAGTGTTAAATACGTCACCGTGCTTCAGCAGATAATAAATGAGCGAAAAAACGTACTTTTACCTTCTATTGTATTGTATTGAGATGTTGTGTAATGTACTGAAATGTATTGTAATCATTTTGCTATGTGCTGCATTGTATTGTATTGTAATTTTGTGTAATGTACTGAAGTGTATTGTAATCATTTTGCTATGTGCTGTAATTTATTGTATTGTTATATTGTGTAATGTACTGAAATGTACTGTAATCATTTTGCTATGTGCTGCATTGTATTGTATTGTAATATTGTGTAATGTGCTTTAAATTTATGAGAATGTTTTAAATTATATTATGTTGTGTTGTGTTGTATAGAAGTGTACGTAATGCTTTGTAAATTTAAATTATACTGTTTAGTAATGCGCTGTAATTTGTTGTCATGTAATGTTATTTATTGTAATGGGTGTATTGTTATGCATTGTTATTTATTTTTTTATGTTGTAATGTAAGGTTATTAGTTGTAATGTTTCGAAATGAACTTTAATGTGTTACAGTGCGTCGTGTTTTGTCGCAATTTCTTGTAATATGTTGTAATGTATTGTTATATATCTTAATGTTATGTAATGAATGTTAATATGTTGTAATGTGTTGCGTTGATGTGTGTTGTATTGCATTATGTTGTAATCTATTATTTATTTATTAGAATGCAGCTCACGCCAATATAAGTATAACACATGTAACCAATTTATGGTGGTGATGATGATGATGATGATGATGATGAGGAGGAGGAGGAGGAGGATGTCTTGCCCTCGTACTAAGATTTATAATCACGTGTTAAAATATTACCAAGATATCAACAATAAACATTATCATTCAAAGTATTCAGTTATATTCTTAACAAGTGAAACTGTCCCGTCTTTTTTATTATCTTCTTAATTCAAGCATCAATTTAATTCTTTATATCGACGATTATGTCCCAAGCTCTACTTTCTTAATGTTACTAAAATCTTTTCTCGCCAACCAGATCACTAATGCTGTACACTGATTTATATTCAATCTACGGAGAAATGATTATTTTGCGATAACTTTCCCTAAACCTCATAAATTTAAAGCCACAAACAACTAGAAAATGAGATTTTTATGTATGCAAATAAAGAAACCGTACATTCTTATTGAAAATAATTGTTCCCACGAGATATGCATGTGTCCGTTTAACAATAACGTGTTATTTATATTTCCATGTCTGTTTACAACTCATATTCATAATTCAACATTGTTACAGTGCTTATACGCGTATTTAAACTTTCAGGGAGAACATTTCTTGCTTGAATTTTATAAAATGAAGATGAAATTGTGGGTAAGAATCTGATTCGAATCTTTCTGAGTTTTTTATGTAACAGATAAACAAATAATGAAACTTACGAAATTGAATTTGTTTTGAAGTTTTGTATAGAGGCAATTCAAAATTCGCAATCCGTTATTATATGGATATCTCTTAACAGTTAAAATAATTTCACTTTTAAGAAAAACAATGTAGGGGTTGTAACCAAAGTTTAATTTTATACATTGTAGTTCCATTTTCCTTATACGTGTATTTAACTAGGCTCGTGAAAAGAATTGTCTGTAGTCTGTTCTATTCTATAAATAACTTAAGGAAAAAAATCTTAAAGAAGTCATTAAATAATAAATGAAAATCTATTAAAACTAAATATTTCCAATGAATGTGTAGAAACAATTTAAGTTATTTTTTGAATTGCACATAAAACTTGTCATAAAAAATGCATCGTAAAACGTGTAATACTAACATTGCAAGCAACAAAATTTAATTGACAACGGATTTATCTGAAATCAATAGGAATACAATTAAATATATTTACTTGAAATTTCATAACACAATCTAAAACATATATGCGATTTTCTGAATTCCAGTCTTTAATTATAAAAAAACGAATAATAGAAGAACGATATAAAATAGTTTGCAGAGTCACTTACGCATATTTCTATTTCTTATATTAGTAGTTTATTAGTTTATAGTATCATTAATGTTACAACATAAAATATCACAGTAAACAATCTACTATCAGTAAAAACATTGTCATTCTAAACAGAGTTATAAGAGACACTCACGAGATGTTTACTAAAACTTTTAAAATAACATTTTTTACTTTATTAATCTTGACAGTAAGATTACCACTACTGACCTATAATTCAAAAAGGTCTTTAAAATGTAATAATAATAATAACTGTAAGAATTGTAATAATAATAAAAATAACTGTAAGAATTGTAATAACAATAAAAAGAACTCTAGGAATAGTAATAATAATAAAAAGAACTCTAAGAAATGTAATAATAATAAAAAGTAACTCTAAGAATTGTAATAATGATAAAAATAACTCAAAGAATTGTAATAATAATAATAAGAATAACTCTAAGAAACGTAATGTTAAAAAAGTATCTACTGGTTATGATAAATATCTTACAAGAAATATATCGCCAATGGTCAGACCTTAGATGAGCTGGTCAATTCGTTTTATCATAAAATATTAAATCATAACTGTCAGTAGTGAATTTTTTACACAGGAGTAAAAGATTTGTTTAATCAAATTAACATTTCTTTTAACAATAATATGTTACTAGTGAAATATGAAAGTGTCCTGTTAGTTTCATTAACTAAAGATATGTGAACATACTGCATGGGACAGGTTATATATGTGAACATACTGCATGGGACAGGTTATATATGTGAACATACTGCATGGGACAGGTTATATATGTGAACATACTGCATGGGACAGGTTATATATGTGAACATACTGCATGGGACAGGTTATATATGTGAACATACTGCATGGGACAGGTTATATATATGTGAGAGCGTGAAATGAATCGTAAGTTATACAAAAAAAATAAACAGAATCAACAGTATTATTTTTACTTTATATATATAATAAGCACTAAAAAACCTTTAAATTTACTAATGAACGTGTTTCAGAACGAGTTTCTTTCTAGAGTAAAATATACGTCAGATATATTTGAAGCAGTTAAACACACAACGCAGATTTTTGTGTCGTTTTTTTCTTCTTCAATAATTTCAGGAAAAATTTACACGAAAAAAAAAATTGAAAAATATTTTATAAAAAAAAACATTATTAAAAAAAAATCTTTATCAATACGGAATATTTTATTATTATTATAATTATTCATTGTTCATTAAACTATCTTTTTTTAAATAAAATTGGTAAAAGAAACTCACCTATTTGCGGCATGCAGTCGGGATACTTTCTTTCGGTTACACTCTGACAACGTCGACATTTTCTATGTCTGACCATGAAAGATCTCGGCATTGTTTAGTAAAAGATGATTCTTCTTCCGCACAAAAACAACCTTACTGTCTCTTTTTTTCCCAGAAATGATATCCTAAATTTTATATTTTTCCTTATTGCGTGTATTTTCGGTCTTCTCTTTCACGTTTAATACGCTCCTTATAAGTGATTTCAAATTTCATTGAAAAGACTAAAGTATAAAACATAATATAGAAAAAAGCCGCCGTCTCTTATGTCATAATAAATATAAATATATATTAAAGAAAAGAATTCCAGAGTTGCATTGGTGAAAGGCGCGGCAAAAAGGTTTATCCTTTTATTATATAGAATTCCATAAAAACTGTTAAATATTCATGAATTGGTACCGGTCTGCAATAAGTCGATGAAAAATCAATGCCTCGTACTGACTTGATGTGAACAATGTTCCCTTAACCGTTGGCTTCTCCTGTCCTGTAAGTTTTAACTATTAAAGCGTGTATTTTAAATAGGCCTCTTAACAATACTTCCGAGATTTATTCTCCTTAGGGATCCAGAGTCATATTCACATTATCAAGGTTATCAAACGCCTTTTTTGTTTCGTTTAGTTGTTACAGACGATATATTATGCAATTACTTAGTACAAAATATGAATTAGCCACGTAAATTTAATACTTCTAACAAGTTATCGTTAGTTTTACTGCATAAAATATGAGGGTCGTTCTAAGCCGCTGACTTTCATATAAGAGACAACATTTTACATCGACAAGCATTGATTGATGTAACAGTTTTGTTTAATAATTTAATCTTGAAATTAGTTTTTTTAAAACAGTAACATGTATTTCTTTGTGATCTTTCATCAAAATGGAATATTCAACATTTATGTTAAACATGGCAATTACAGTAAAATTAAAAGTATTGGAACGTCGGAAATTTGATTGATATGAACTCGTATGACTTTGATCGATGTACTACTAACACCTTTTTAATTATGTTTCTACTAAATCTGAAAGGCCTTGCTCTTGTCACAAATACAGTATGTGTATATATCACAGAAAACAACATATTTTGCACTCGAAATGTCAGAAAGTTTAACAATTCAATCGTCAGTACAGCCTTGTGATCAGTGCAGGTCAAAGTCCAAAACTAAGCCGGGCTAACAGATCTCAATACATTCATCTAAATTATAGAAACTACAGACTACTGTAACAGGTATTTCCAAAACTGCTTTAGAACCGCTCTGCTATTTCTATTGCGTTAATGCGTTATATTGATGCAAAAGATTTTCGCTCGTTTGAACTCCTATTGACGTACAAATATATTTCAATAGAGTGACCAATATCCGATAATAGTACTCGTAAATGTTAGGGTAATATTTAAAAACTGCCGTAGATATATAAAAAAACGGCTGTTCAACTCTTTTATCATTTGAGCCGCGTCACGACAAAACCAACATAATGGGTTTGCGACCAGCATGGATCCAGACTAGCCTGCGCATCCGCGCAGTTTGATCAGGATCCATGCTGTTCGCTTACGAACCCCATTATAAGTAGAGTAACTGATAGCGAACAGCATGGATCCTGATCAGACTGGTCTGGATCCATGCTGGTCTGGATCCATGCTGGTCGCAAACCCATTACGTTGGTTTTGTCGTGACGCGGCTCATTTTCACTTTTCCGAAAATATTCTTAAGGATATCATTAGAAATTCATTCTGGTCACAACGGTCATTATTTGTTTTTGCGAAGCAGATTATTTAATTGAAAAATAATTCAAGAATGTAGAGTTATTTTGACTTATTATTTACATTTGGTTGGGCATAATGTCACTTTAATAATAAGAGCAAATGCTAGCAACATTTCTAGTTTACTGAAAATATGTAATTTCTGTAAAATCATGAATTCAGTGAATCAATTATAATTCTGATAACTTTCTGATGGTTACTTTCTTTCAGGACAGATTCTGTTATGACGTTGTCAAAATCATCTATTGTGTGTTTGTTATTTCTGTAATACAAAGTGTTAAGGTGACAATATTACTGTTTTAATATTTGGTAATGTTAATCACGATCTCGTGCAAATATCATGTATAATCTTTATCATCGATCTACATAATCGTTTTACAAATGAGCCGTGTCACGACAAAACCAACATAATGGGTTTGCAACCAGCATGGATCCAGACCAGCCTGCGCCTCCGCGCAGTCTGATCAGGATCCATGCTGTTCGCTTACAGGCCCTATAACAAGTAAAGAAACTGAAAGCGAACAGCATGGATCCTGATCAGACTGCGCGGATGCGTAAGCTAGTCTGGATCCGTGCTGGTCGCAAACCCATTATGTTGGTTTTGTCGTGACGCGGCTCAAATATATATTTTGTTTAAGGAGACTGACAGTAAACACTTACTAAAGAAAATGTAAGTACAAAGGGAAATAACTCTCAATGTTTCATCATCAATCTGCTAACTCGATGGTGAACAAGTTAGACATTTTAATGCTATTTAAATTGTGAATATAACACAGTTAGACATGAAAATCATAGAAACAAATGATTTACATCTGTTGCTTCACAAAGTGACTTAAAATAAACATTTAAATACCATAACAATAGCAGTTATTCTGGCACACACGTACACACGTACACAGACAAATATAAAGTAAATACCTTTGTGGGAAAAAATTAAGAAACATAAATGGATTTATATTTAAAGAAAAATGAAAATCCTTTAATAGAGTGATAACTTAATACAGTTTACATTAATCGTTATTTTCAATTGCATCGCATATAATTCGAAAGGCCTGACGCACTTTTATTTAAGAAATATGCAATCATTGCCAAACTTTGATATACCTAAATTGTTTAAATTACGATTGGGTTCGAATTGTTTATTCGTGTTATCGCGTAGGTATTCATTTGCGATAACAAATACGATATAAATTACAATGAAACAATAAGATGCACTTTCATAAATAACATTTGGTAAATTGAATTCGCATATCTTCATTTCCCAATGATCAAATGCGCATGCCTGGTGGTCCTTCTTGTCATTTAGAAAATCCACTAATCTCTTTAACTCTTCTACCAGAAACTTGATATATAGATCTCCATATTTCAGCACTAAGTTACTTGTAATAACTGATTCATATCAATCAATTTATGTCCCGAAAACAAAACGCAGCGAACACAGTTCGACCATAAAAACTGCAGATAAGTTTCTTTGCCGCAGCAGTGTCTTTGAACAGAGCCAGATCTGCAGTGTGTGTGTCTTTATCATTGATATAACGGCTGCAAACAGTTAATTTATATGCCAAGATCGGCCAAATATAGAAATAGTTATTAAAAATATTTATTTATCTATCTGTATGCTGAAGAACACAATCGCTCAATGTTATGAGAATACTTTTCGCTTGAAATGTATTTTATTGATAAGGAAATGATAACATTTTTTTTAAAAAACAATTAAAACGGTTGAAGAAAATATTTTGATAATACGAAACAATGGATCAGCCAATTTAATTAAATTTAACAAAAGTATTTGGCGTTTGCAGGACAAATTTGAATTTTATTTAGTACGCATGTGCATGGTGTGTGAAATGTCTACTTTAAGTGCATACAATGGAAGTCAAAAGGTGAAAGCGGCCAGTTTAATAAATATGTTGGAAAAACGTATAGTCATTGGTTCAAGTCCCTGTTTGGTATACACTGTCTCCTAATTACTTTTCCGGTGCCTTTAATTATCTCCTTATCTGGTGTAAGATCTTTAAATTGCATTTTTAACATTATGAATTAAAAGCACTCGCTATCAATATTAGTCTTGATTGCTTGTCATTTAAATATTTATTATTTTGCTACAAAGTGTAAGTATTACTTTAAATAAAGATAGTATGATCAATTCAAGAAATAAAATGAGCCGCGTCATGACAAAACCAACATAATGGCGCAGTCTGATCAGGATTCATGCTGTTCGCTATCAGTTTCTCTACTTGTAACATGGTTTGTAAGCGAACAGCATGGATCCTGATCAGACTGCGCGGATGCGCAGGCTGGTCTGGATCCATGGTGGTCGCAAACGCACTATGTTGGTTTTGTCGTGACGCGGCTCAAATAGAAATTCTAGCATCGCTTGTCAAGACCACTTGCTATACATGAAAATGAATAATTATGTGATTTTGTAACGACTTAGAAGGCGAGTATCATTTTATCATAGAATAAACTTTATACGATGAACTAAAACATCAACATATACAAAGTATTATCAAAAAACTGTCAAGTTTATAAACGTATTGAATTACGATTACCAGATACTTATGTAAAAGCTTGGATCTGTCGTCAAAACTGTAAAAAAAAAGGTTTTATGTTGTAATAGTTAAGTGAGAGTACATAATTTATAAACAATATCTGGATTGCCTGTCTTAGATAAAAAAACCCACAAAAATCTTAATGCAAGCATTATTGCAAATGAAGAAATATTCACAATAAGAGATCAGCGTATTTGATGAGAATCATTTCCTATTTCGTGCATTCATTAATTGCATATAATCAATCAATTAATCTGTTGTAAAATTCGGCTCAAAATGGTAAAAGTCCCTATGTATGTATGTATGTATGTATGTGTGTGTGTGTGTGTGTGTGTGTGTGTGCGTGCGTGCGTGCGTGCGTGCGTGCGTGCGTGCGTGCGTGTGTGTGTGTATGTATGTATGTATGTATGTGTGTACGTATTAAACATAATTTTATAGCCATTAATAGTAAAAATCAAGCAAAATACAATATGAACTATTCGGGTGTCCACACTCTGTGTTATAGAACTGAAATATATTGCAAACAAGTATTACTCTGTAAACATACTGCGTGACTAAAAAGGGGCCATAACTATGAGTTGAATTGTCTGACCAGGATATTCAAATGACGTGAGCATTGTCTTTTTGTATTGAATGTTCCCGCAAAGTTTCATCGAAATTCAGTAAGTAGTTGCTGAGAAATAGCCTGGAGGCGAAAATTGGACGGCCGGACTAGCTTTGTGAACAAGCTATTGAAGTTCAGCATAAATACAAATAAAATGTGTGTACCCGGAAATGTAAAATTTTTGGTAAGGGTGACTTAGGAACAGAACGGATTGATGCAAATCTTTATTCTAAAGCCCATACAATTATTCTGCATTTGGGAAGAAATGATATGACAATTACATCAACATCTTTTCCTAGAAATATATTCAATCGAATACATGCTATTGTATTGTATGTAAGAAAATCAAACCAAGCCAAATAATTTATTGGCAAAAACGTAAACATGTCCGTCGCCAAATTAACTGTTTATA